TCATTTCCAAATCATGTCTGATTCAATCAGGGTTCGAGTTATAATCTGAGCTTTGTGGGGGTCTCTAATATCGCTACGCTAGGCGGCGGAGATCAATAAATAAATAAATAATAAGCCTAGAGAGAGAGACTTCATTGCTCATTATGTGGTCCAACACTTTCTCTCTCTCACACACACACAGCAGCCAACTCTCCCCAGGTGTCTAAGTTTCAGTAGCCCAAAATAAGCCAACAAAGACACATCACTAAAGGAGATACCACAATTCCGCCCTTTATGCTATCATATTAAAGTGTTATTATTTTACACACTACTCGCCGCCAACACACAGTAGCAAACACATAATCAAGCAGCAGTCAATACAGAGTCTACCGGTAATATAGAAGTAAACTACAACTGAGTTTTTGCTTGCGGGTTTAGCAGTCTCAACTGGCATTAGGTCAGTATTGTTCTGCACCCCCCAGCGGCTAATGGTGGAGACTGTCATTATGACAGTTATAGTATATAACTGTATATAGTATATAGTTCATTTGAAAAAACTTGTTTATTTCAGCCCCTTTATCTTGTTAATGTATATAATACTAATTGCAATGAAAAAAACATTTATGATTCTAAACAATGGTTGTTGGTAAATGAATAACCCCCACAGATGCATGATTTTTCTGCTTCCATGGAATTGATTCCCTCTACATCTGAAAATAGTACATAATGACATGATTGTTAAACCAGGTTTTAGATTGATAGATTTTGAAGTACCTAAATTGTCACTTACTCCTAGTATCTTAGCCGACTTTGTGACCTCTGAATCTCTGTCAGTGATTGAAATAGATCCTTCTTCGTCGCTTCTTGCAGGGTGTAAATGGTTCTGACTCATGTAGTCGATCATGTACAATTTTAAAATGTTACTTCTGGAGGTTTGGTTGGTTATCCAATGATAACGGATGAGACACAGGTAGAGAGGGTGAAACATTTATTCCACAGACATGACCAAATATAAAATAAACAAAAATGTGTCCATATAAAAACTGACCTTATGTTGAAAGTGACTTTACTGTAACTTAAATATGGTTGGTCAAAAGTATTATCAGATAAAACAAACTCCACAGCACATTTTACATTAACATGACCTTATCTAAATATTTTAAACGGCACACAATTTACTACTGCAGCGAGAATCAAGTACAAAGACAACATGGCTCTTACAAATGGGGGACCTCATGTTCCTCAAGAGCCTGTTGTCAGTTGCAGCATCTGTGTGTGTTCAAGAGCCAAGGCTCTGTTTCAGTTGAACGACAGGCACAGAGTCTCGGGTGCACTAACTGTGTGGGCGCCTGCACCTGCTGTCTTGGTTCTTGTATACGCATGCCATGTCAAAGTGTAAAAGGGATGGGCGAGGTGGAAAAATGGACTCACAGAGTGAACAGCGATTATAAGATTCATGTTCAGCCAATCGCATCACTAGTCTCATCGCTCTGGAACAGCTGAGCCAATCACAGTGAAGTATGACAACAACAAATCACTGTTGTCTTCAACCGACGCTGCTTTTTTTGGAAGTAAGTAAAGTCTTTGAAAGTCTCTATTAGCTGTTTTATGGCTATCTGCCCAAATGTCAATCAGGCACCGTGTCTCTTCAGAGCTCCAGGTCAAACCACGACGCCTCCAATGGTTGTTAAGTTCAAAAAAAGCAAAGTTCTTTCTGCAGTTGGGTCGGATCGAGGTCGGGCCACAATCACACCTTAAACAAACCGAGACCACCTCTACCATCAAAAAGATCCACACCAAGAGGGGAAACGAACCCTCAATTGGCCCTTCACTAAGCCACACCCCAAATACGCAGCTGGCCAATCACAGCGCAGTATAGGACTCGCTGTAACTGAGGTCCGACACTGTCATGGCTGCGCTCCATTGACACCACAGGAGCTATTTTATAGCTTTATTTTACCGTATATTTCCAAGATAGGCGCTTGTAATAATTACAATTGCTTCCCAGCGAAGTCGAAAGGAAAAGTACGATTTATTCACTTTCAAAAACCTAAAACAAATCCAGAAAAATTTGGCTTGGGTTGTTCCTACTGAATATAACGTTATAAAGCCCTACTGTTCTGCTTTTTAATTATTGTAATTAAGGGTGGGAATCGCAGGATACCATACGATACACAATACATGGCTCACAATAACGATACAGCAATTCTGCAATAATCGATATATATCTTGAGACAATCCTAAAGTGATGCATCACGATATCTAACTATTAATACAAAAAAAGTTTACTATTTATTTTTTGCAAATCCAAACTGTTAGAAAACAGCACAATTCTGCTCAGTCTGTTAATAAAACTATAAAATATATAATAAAAAAGCCACTGGGAATATTGGGTTTGGGTTTTGACCCTTTGGGGTTGCTGTAACTGGTCTGTGTGGAGTGCAGAAGCAGTAGAGTAGCAGATCAAGACAGTGAAGTTAGCAGCTCTTTTTATTTCACACAGAGCTCAGGAAACATGTACTTTAAGTATTTGCACAGTATGTCACTCAGGATGTTCAGCATGTGAAGCAAAATGTGTCGTTTAAATTAAGATTGTATTTTAGCCATCGCGATGCTAATGTCCTTTAGCACATTAATGGAGATTCCCATTATATGTTAGCATTGAGCTAACCGTTGAAGCTTTATTTTTTATTAATATCATGTATCGATATGATGGGCTGGATTATATACATATATCGATACAGTATTATGGAAAAATGTACGTTATATTGCCATATCGATTTATTGTCACACCCCTAATTGTAGTGTCGTGAATAGAGACCTACCCAGCTGTACGGGAGAAGTGCTCATCCTTCATATCGTTGTCCTCTTTCTCAAAAGTCACTAATAATACGGTGGTTCACTTTTACTCTGATTGGTAGGCTTTAGCTTCTGTCATTATTTTTTTCACATTAGTTTGAGTCAGTCTGACAGCCTGAATAAAACCTTCAAATGCACAATGCAACTGCTAAACTGTCTGCTTCTTTCTGAGATCGCGTTTTCCAAAAATTTGACAATATTTCTCCAGGGAGCGCAGTAATAGACTGTGGCAGCGCCGTGATACAGGTCTGATAGTTTGTCGGACTTAGCAACAGTAACTACAGGGGGCGTGGCTTAGCGAAGGGTCAATTCAGCCGAACCAAACAAGACAGGTGTGAATACACCTTAAAACATATGTAGTAGAACTCCCAAACACCTGGTAACACATGCTGAAGTGAAAGGTCACTGGAGGGTCGCCTTTAGTCTTTCATAAGTAGCTATCACTATAACTATAGTGCAGTCTGAGCTCACCACCACACAAACGCACCATAGTAGCAGACATCTGAGCTTCCAGCTGCTTGAACACACACTTTAAAACAACTTTGATGAGAATAAAAGCTAACAAGATGTTCTGTGAAGTAGCTTTTCTCAAGTCTGAAGGGTAACTGTCAAACCATAAAGGGATGATGTCTGGACTGAAAGGCAAATTATATGTGTAACTCTAGAAATCAATGTTAAGCTTTGAAAATGGTTGACAGACGTGAACGTGGCTGTTTTGTCCTTTACAATCCCAGTCACACGTCTGAAAACACTGTCCTCATGATTCTTTGAAACAAACGACTGCCAAACACGAACACAACTCCACAGCGGTCAGCTCTTCAACAATCTGACTCATCCCCTCACACTGCAATCTGCCCTGACAAGCCAAGGATGAAGGTGCCACAGTCTGTGTGTGTGTGTGTGTGTGTGTGTGTGTGTGTGTGTGTGTGTGTCTCATGTAGAGAAACAGAAAGTGAGAGAGAGAGAGAGAGACTGCATGAAAGTGTGTGTTTGTCAGTGTGGATAATGGTTGTGTCTTTTGTCTAGAGATGACATCGTTGGCAGGATTACTGAAGCAGGCCAACACACAACTCCCCAAATACACACACACACACACACACACACACACACACACACACACACACACACACACACACACTGACCTATGTGTGAAAGTCAAATGCACAGCACTCATGCCTGTCAAACTATATCATTCTCTGCAGCCGACAGACAGACAAGCAAACACAAACACTGTCACATGTGTGAGAGAGTCGCACTTATACATTCACATAAACACACAGGTGGACATCGTCTGTCGTGAGGTATCACATAGCGACGTGATCACACCTTTCTGTCACCCTGCTGATCCTACCATACGACACCTCTCACATTTTCTTCCCCTCGTTCTCTGCCTCCGTCTCTCCAACACGCTGCAACTTTAGGTTCATCAAGATAAGAGGAATTGTGTGAGAAAAGTGAAGCAGCAGAGAGGCTCAGGAATTAAAGGGGGGAGAGAGAGAGAGAGACAAAGAAAGAGGAGAGACAGGATGGTGAAACACAAAACTAGGCCAGGCAGTAGATTAAGCTCAGCAGCTGTACAGTTATTGCCTGTGACAGTTTCCCGTGCATTAACATATGCATGATGTAGTGGATACTGCAGGACACGCGTACTGGATATGCAAAGATAATCTCCCAAACTACAGCATGAATCAGCCTTTTATTTCCCCAAGGATTTTCAGCTTTCAGGAGAGGTTCTTTGGTTTGTTTTAATAATTTGTTACACAACAAGCACTCCACTGTGGTGTGAACGGGTGGCAAATGAGAAAAGAAAAACACAAATGTGTTAGAAATACATCTTGTTAATTTCACATTTTTATATTTATAAATGTGTATGTTTATTGTTATGCATCAGGTGACCAAAGCAAATTCTTGAATGTGTAAACCTACTTGGCAATAAAGCTGATTCTGATAATGTGAGGTGGGAGTAAACGGCCCGGTAAATAAGAAGCTCAGAGAAATGTTGTGACTGACTGTTGTGACCGCGCTGTACGGGCTTCAACCAATGACCATTTTCTGCATATTACTCTTTCAATTAAACACCTTATCATTTGATCTACGAACATGTTTTCCAACAACTTACCAAATGTGATGTGATGCTGACAGATGTCTTTTTACTGTTGTAGGTCTCGGCTCGCTGATTTCCACATGAACTGCCAAATGACATCTCACACTGCCACCAGCTGCCCCCATGATAACTACCACGGCTGCCTCGTGTCCTACGTCGGCCTCATTGGTAAGTTTAGTAAATCAGTTTTCTTTAAAAGGTACACATTTGATGTCACTGTAAATTCTCATTTATTAACCTCAAAAATAGAAATAACAATAACACACAAAGGACACTATACAACATCAACTGTGTGTAAAAAAAATAATAATAAAAAAGAGTAGAAATAATACACCTTGTGCAAAAATAAACTTTACTATAAAAACTATACAGAGTATGTGAAATGTACAGTAGAAAGTGCAGGAGTATAAAGTGACAGTAGTGGAATTACAATAACAATTTTATGATGAATAGGAACCATCAGGACTTGTTCAGGTAGTGCTCCCTGGAGCAGCACAGATGGATCAGTCGGTTTAATTCCATTAGTACTAGGATTGAAGAACTTCCTGTCATTTTAAAATGTCTGCATTCAAGGAATATATCACACTCTTTTTTTTTACTGGGATTCCCTGGATTTCTTGCTATAAATGAAATTTGAATTTAACCACAGAGAAGCTGGGAAGTTTAAGCTGGTATATATGTGAAATTGAGAAATGTGAAAGCACAGGTAGGTGAAAGGTCTCTCTGTGTGTGTTTCTCCATCAATGATAGCCATGAAAACTGTTTTGCTTTTGCTGTCTGTGAAGATTCTCAGCCATCCAAGTCATAGTTATCCAAGGTAGGTTAAAATTAAGGGCAACTGGAGTTGATTGAAGATACTTGTAGCCTGAGGCGTCTTCAGTTCTGGCTTCAACCAGTCACGATGCCCTTGATTTTAACCCACCTTGGATGTTGCTTTAGCTTTTATGCACTGATGTTGATGCTAAAATGGCAAAAAAGATGAAGAAGAAGAGTTTCTCGAGGAGTGGCTATGTTGCTTCCTGTTATCTGCTGTGAGATGGGCAGACTGAGAGCATGAGGCAGGGCCTGAAAGCAGGTGTTTAGGTTTAAGCTAAATGCACAACATCATGCTAATAGACTGAGGTCGCAGGTAAAAATTCATGTAGAAGACGTGGGAAGAAAGAAATGGCGTTGTTCTTGTATTGCCGTATAGAAAAGGTCCTAATAGGCCCATTACCTTAACATCAGACTGGTACTTTACCAGGTTAGCTTTGCTTTTTTCTTTCATGCTTCACTTTTAAAGCTTTGAAAATGAGGGCTTACTTATGTGTTTGACATAACTACAGATATAGTAGCATCCTGGCTCCTAAACTGGGCTTCTTGTAATGTTATCTACAACCCCACAAAACTATGTCATTAGTTAATGATACGCTCTTTGGCGGTAACACTAGATTAGCACTCCACTGTAGGCAGTTATCTGGTTAGATTGGTATGCTGATATTAGCACCTTATGTTGGAGCAGCAAACACATTCTTACAGTCACCTTCCCCCTCTGACCTCTCACCTGCACTCAAGATCTGTGAAGAGGACGTGAGCCACCTCTTCCAGAGGCAGAAGATCAGGAAGGCTCCTGGCCTCGACGGTGTGTCTCCATCCTGCCTGAAAATCTGTGCAGACCAGCTGGCCCCCATCTTCACTCAGATCTTCAACAGATCACTGGAGCTGTGTGAAGTTCCCTCCTGCTTCAAACGCTCCACAGTCATTCCGGTCCCAAAAAAACCTCCATCTCTGGACTAAATGACTATCTGACATCTGTAGTCATGAAGTCCTTTGAAAGACTGGTGCTGGCCCACCTGAAGGACATTACAGGCCCCCTGCTGGACCCCCTGCAGTTTGCCTACAGGGCTAACAGGTCTGTGGATGATGGAACTTGGGTCTGCATCACGTCCTGCAACACCTCGACTCTCCAGGGACACATGCAAGGATCCTGTTCGTGGACTTCAGCTCGGCGTTCAACACCATCATCCCGGACATCCTCAGCACCAAACTCATCCAGCTCACTGTGCCAGCCTGAGAATAATAGTTTACTCTTGCATCCTTTGCACTCTGATTACTGCACTATTTGTCAATATGTCTATATTGTTTCGTTCAAAGTGTGTATATTAGTGTTGTCTATACTGTAGTTTGTTTCTGAATTTATTTTATTATTTTATTATAGTTATGGTATTTTTGTACAAGTAAGCACATCGTCAGTAATGTACAAACCCGAGTTGAATTCCTTGTATGTGTACACATACCTGGCATTAAAGCGGATCCTGATTCTGATTCTTTACACTTTAGCCCTTGGTGTTGTGACACCACCCTCCAAACACTCAAACTCTCTGCAGCTCCTTGAACACAGCGTGCAGGTGTGGACAAACACTGACACACCTGCTGTTCAGCTGTGATTGGACTGTTCAGAAGAAGGGTTTAGCATATGTTCAATTAAGTTTTGTTCGGCGCAGCAGAATGGTTGGCATAACATGACTCTCTTCTTGCAATGATGGAATGAATGCTGTGGAAACGTACTGTAATTTACTGTTATTACTGTAATTTACTCTGTCTTCATTAGGAACTGGCCTTGTTTTCCTGCTATTATTTTAGAATGGACCAATTATTTGAAAACCATCTTTTATTTGGGATTTTCCAGCAGATGCTGTTGTTCTTTAAGCAGTATGTCTTTGTCAGAGAAACATGTTGCAGGTGACTCACTTCCTCGCTGGAAGACATTCAGTGACTCCACTCCCAATTTGCAAAAATCCTCTTTACCTTTCTTCCCGGCTAATCTCCATCCTAATTCTTATTCCTCCCCTATATTTACTCCATCCCCCTCTCTCTCTCTCTCAGGCTCAGATGTAACGCCGAACTACAGCGACAGCAGTCCTTCCAACATCACCATCAGCCTGTGGTGCACCTGCAGGGGCACCGGCAATCAGGAGCCAGAGTGTGACGCTTTCCACCGGGACTTCACACACAACACTTGCCTCAGTGAGTCCTCAGTTTGTGTGTTGCTTCCAGAGGGCCACATTTAGACACAAAGCCATGAAGACAAAAATATATATACCTTAGACATTGTGTTGTATAATGATGTGGACATTAGGATTAGAATACGTTTTGGGTCAGGGTTGCATTTAGGGCTGCAAATAGTTATCTGCAGATTATTTTTCCAATAATTGGTCAATCGTTTGGTCTATTTAACTGCAGAAATGTGATAAATGTCCATCACAGTATCCTAGAGCCGAAGTTGACGTAATCAGACTTCTTGTTTTGTCCGACCAATAGTCTAAAACCCAAAGATCATCAGTTTATATGTAGGGCAGAGGAAAGCAGGAAATTCTCACATTTAAGAAGCCGGAGCCATCAAACATGGCCTTTGTTTGCTTTAACTAATTGTATCCTCTCTAATTCAATTTACAGTGATGTAAAGCAGCGAAAAGCAGAATTATATTCTCATTTAAGAAACTGATCGTTTTACTTGAAACGTTAACTCAAATTTATTACAAAATACAGATGAATTTTAATCGACAAATGGTTTCAGCTCTAGTTGTATGTGTGGAGCTTTCTGTGGAGTGGGGTCAGGAGTGAGGACTGGATTATAGAGACAGGGAAGGTCCTTGCAAGTATGGCAACATTAAAGTGTTATATGTAGATAAAGGGGATAAAAAGTGTGAGCGAGTCTGATAACTGAGGAGAAAGGCTAGACGAAGGAGGACGATTGTTGAAGATCCCAAGATACTTTCTTTAAATAGCACTAACCCAGCTACAATATCACCTCGGCACCTCCTCTCTGTCAAACACCCTCTCCCCCTCTCTCACTTAATGTGGGCATATACATTCATGCTCACGTGCGAAATGTGCCTGTGGCGAAGAATAACCACGTCAGTGTAGAATCAGAGCTTTGTGTTATCATGTATTAAACATGATCAGAATCTAATCATACAAGCCACAGAGTGCTTAATCGATTGTATCTGATCAGACAAACCTGCCGTGGAAGAAGTCCGACGTGAAATGGGAAACAGGAAACAAAATCACAAGCTTGCCAAGTTTGTGACATCATGAAACTTGCTAAACAGCTTCCACTGTGGCCACGAGCAGCAAATATAGGATAATTATAAATGCTAAAACATTGTGTAACAGTTAGAGATAGTGGTGGACGTACAATTACTCGGTTAGTCAACCTCAGAGTACGTTCACTAAAGTGCTTGGTTTTGCAGCTAACAGCTTCAGATTGTTGTTAAAAGTGTCTGACAGCATTATGGAAAGGGTCCCTACAGAGATAAACCTAAGATCCAGAAACAACCAGACTCCATTGATAAAAACAGTTATTTTACATCAAGGAACATTGAAGCTGCTGGTCTACCGCTGCCTCAGTCACATCTGGCTGACACCTGGTCAGTATCAGAGGTCATACTGAGTGTAAGTACTATGTGCAGTAAAATGTCCCCGTGCCTGTTGTACTATTATATATTATTTTATCAGATTATTATTCCTCATGCATTAATGTAAACAACTAGCACATACTCGAGGCAATTGTTGGCCAGAGAGGTAAAATCACTATTTTTGTCAATGGAGTCTGGTTGCTTTTTCCTGCTTTTCCTTTGAATGATATTTTTGTGTTGAGGTTTGGACTGTTGGTCGGAGTGTAACTGTGACAGCATTTCTCACTATTTTCAGAATCTTTACAAACCAAACAATCAATCGAGTAATGGAGAAAATAATCAGCAGATTGATCCACAATGAAAATAATCATTAGCTGCTGTCCAATACTGAACAGTTCAAAATAAATAATAGAAAATACAGCAGTAAAATCCTGCTTTTACATTAATGCATGAGGAATAGTTTAACAGAGTTTAATTTGCTTCATGTTGAGTGGTTTGCATCAGAAGAGTGTGTTCATCAATCATTCACCAAACGCACCAGTGGATTATGCTACATACATCGTCCCCTGCCAAGAATTTCTAATGACTCCATGGACTTGTTTTTGTTGACTGCTGTGGACTTAAAAGGTTTGTTTGTTCATTGTTCATGCTACTGTTTCAGCAGTGTGGTTACAGTGCTGTTAATGGACAGTATGTAGGCCAATACATACTGTTTATTCCTTGTTCAGATCTCCGTTAGCTTCCACAAAGTTATCGCTTGTCTTCCTGGAGTCCACACATTCAACCATCTTCTGTTGAATCCCTGAATATAATGCTGTTTTAAAAAGACAATTAAGAAAACAGAATTTCCCATAACCATTTGAACAGGCGTTGTAGTAGACCATTGTCCGGTACAACACCCCTCACCTGTGTTCACGAGCTTAAAGAATGAGAAGGTGGATACGAGTGACCAAGGATTGACATTAACACTCGCCAACCCGACTGTGTTACCTGCTACGGCTGAAATCTGTGGCAGGTAACACAGTCACTCCCACTAGCCACTTTGGCGTGTTGAAAAATTGTAGTCTTGTCAAAAGACATTAAATAACAAACAAATGCAATGTGACACTATAACTCCCATGAGTAGGCCTACTACCTGCACATAGTGTTTTTCATTGGTCTATTAGGGAAGCCTATTGTCGTGCAAGCTACTGACCGACGACACTGTAAACAAGAAGACTGTGACGGACTACCGTCACTACGGTTGAGTATGCGCCATGCCGACGAGCCTGGCTCGAGTTGCATGAGTTGGTACCCTGTAGACCCAGGTTCAAGTCCAGGTGGGGTGACTGCTCTTGCCCCTCCGTCACATGTGGTGGTGGCAGTGGTGGGATTTTTAGAGGTTTACCCAGTGTGTGAGGCGTATGACGGACCCCCAAGGTTGTGTGTGAGGGACATGGGTGAAGCATGGGGGCACCCTGTGATGGGAGGAGTACGGTTGGCAGGAAGTGTGATGGACGGCTGAATGCGTGAAGCGCAGGGGGGCGTCTCCCAATGGGGAGGGCAGTGTGGTGGGTCACTACGGTTGAGTATGCACTATGACTGCCATGCCAACGAGCCTGGCTCTTTGGCATTGCGGGCAAGTTACGTGTTTGGTACCCTGTAGACCCAGGTTCAAACCCGGGTGTGGTGACTGCTCTTGCCCCTCCGTCACAAAGACGTGGATTTTAAACAGGAGATTTCCCGGTGGTCTGAGGCCTGTTTTGGCCTGCTGAGGCGCCAATTATGACATCCAGACTTTTGTCAAAGAGAATGTAAAAGTTTAATCTGTCACAGGGCAGCCACAGTCCCTCAGACCTGCAGACAGTCAGCCTCCCGCTTGCTTTTAAACACCACCAGTTCCCTAAATCATGAAAATTTACAGCATTTCACAGCACTTTACTCCTGGCTTGTTTCCGCCTCAGCTCTGCCTTTTCGTTGTCTCTCGTTCTCCTGTGCATTTTTTCTCTTCTTCCACACTGCTCGGCCACGCACACTCACACACTGACTGAACGCCGTGTCGATGTGCGTGTGCAAGCAACCAGTCGTGTGTGATGACAGAGATCATTCCATCTGGTTAAAATAGAAAATGGCATAGGCTTCTAGCAGGGCTGCCCCTATATCACATCATATCATCATATCAGCTACCTTTTCAGAGTTGATTCTATGTTTGAATAAAAGTTGTCATGCCATGTAGAAAAGTAGTTTGAATGGAAATAATCTGGAAAATATAGCCTATACTCATTTTGTATCCTTACTCAGAGCTACTGCAGAGTTTCATGATGATAAACATAAATCCAGTCCCAGCTCTGAGGAAATGCAGTTGTAAAACAGTCAAAGTGCACAAATTGATATAGGCCCACATAATTGTTTTTAATCCTATGCCTTAGTTGTGGATTTTTCATCTTTGCTCTTTGTTTCTTAAGCAGATAATTTTCTACTCTGTATTACAGTAATTAGACCACTGCTGTTATAAATAAATAGGATTTAAACAATTTTTTTTTCAGTTTATGCAGAGCTTTTGTTATTTACAATAAGAAGCTACTCTTTTTATGTGTTTATTTTAATAGACTACATGTTTTCAAAGAAACACAACATTATACATACATTATAATACACACAACATTATCAGAGCTAATGATAATATTAGTCAATTTTAGCACACTATAGTCAACTTTTATCGTATAAAACATCATTTCCCACCAACAAAAAAGTGGCTACTAAAAATGCTGTGTGGCTAGTAACTTTGGCTAGTAAGCAAAAAAGTTAATGTCAAGCCCTGTGAGCGACCAAACTGAGTTTCCTCCGCCGGGTGTCTGGACTTGGAGAGAGGAGCTCAGACATCCGGGGGGAGCTTGGCGTAGAGCTGGTGGTCCTTCTGGGTGCCTCCCTTTGGAGGTTTTCTGGGCATGTCCAATGGGTAGGAGACCCCGGGGTAGACCCAGAGCACACCGGAGAGATTATATATCTCATCTGGCCTGGGAAAGCCTCGGGAAAGCTACATGGGAGAGGGACGTCTGGAATAAGAGGCAGAAAATGGATGGATAGGCTATAACACAAAAAACAAACTTGTCATTATTCACATATCAACAGATGATGATGTTTGTACAGTACGGACTGTGAACTGCCAGAAGCTGAGGCAGCACGACTTTGTGCTGCTTTGTCAAAATGTAAACAAACAGTCTGTGGCTAGATCACGGAGGCGTTCCAGGTTCAATATTCAGACATTTAGAGAGGTTCATCCTCCAAAAGAGTTCTCATCATGTTGTCGGTTCAGTGCAGGATGAAGCTTGATGTTGAACAGGGGTAATTTTCACCTCATGGTTTGATATTGTTTTATAGTATTATTGTATTTTTTTATATTTTTTATATACTTGTACATTTTTTCTGATCTCCTTACTTTTCATATATTTATATTACTATTTATGTTACTCGTACAGTAAGCACCAATTCATACCAAGGCAAATTCCTCGTATGTGAAAATGTACCTGGCAATAAACCCGATTCTGATATTGACGCGTGGTACCCCATGTGACCGGCTCCAAAGGTCATGTACACTGGCCAAGAGAGCTTTTGACATTTTTATGAACAGCTTTTTCATTTTCTTTTTTCATAGAGGCTTCAAAACAACTTTATTTTCTGCTGGAACTCTTCCCACTACATGCACATACAAGACAGTCAAGGTATTTAGGTAGTTTATTTCTCATTATACAACACAAGGCTGTGCAAGGAAAGTTTGCTTATCATAGACACTTCAGGCCAACTTCACATCCATTGGGAAATTATGCAATATAGTCCAACGTAATTCTGAGTTGTATTTACACTGTTAAAGCTCGGTTTTATCATATCTAACTTTAACTAAGATACACGGCTTCTATTTAAACTCAGTTTAGATGTACTTCTTTTGATTTTGATTAATGTAGGTACATGGTTAACCATGTTATGTTGCATATTTTGTGAGCAGCAAAACTTCCATGGTAGGTCTTTCCCACTCTGAGTATGAATACAAATACAGATATTTCTGATACAAGACAGGAAGACGTTAAAGTAGTAAAGTAAAATGACGGACTGTGTCATTTTGTTGTCACTATGTAATTTGGCTAATAACAGATGCCCGCTCTGCTTTCTTTATCCCCCGTCACAGGAAATGCCATCCAGTCGTTTGGTTACGGCTCAGAAGGAGGGACTCTTCTTGTAACCGAGCCATCGTCCACCTTCTTGCCCCCACCTCAGCCGCCAGTCATCTCTAAACCCGCTCCCTCTCTACACGGCAACGCAATCAAGCCCATGGACAGTGCTTGTATGTTTTCCACTTGTGCCAACCTGCAGGTGAGTTTCTCTAAATTCATTCATTGTGTGGGTAAGAAAAAAAGGCTTTAAAGGACATTAAGGACTACAAAATATTTCATTCAGACATTACACTATATTTCTCTTTTAAAAGAGAAAAGTCTCTGAGGATAAGGACAAACCAATTGTAACTCGTAACTCCAGCTAGGTTTCCACTGTTAGCAGTAGTTAGCTGAACATGCTAATGTTAGCATCTTCCATTAGAGCACAGGAACAGTGTACTTCCACTGCTGCAGACTAACTTGAAGTTGTTAAAGAGGTGATATTCTGCTTTTTGGCTTTTTCCCTCTCCTTTGTTGAGTTATATCTCTTTTTTGTGCATGTAATAGGTTTGCAAAGTGAAAAAGCCCAAAGGGAGTTCCCATCTCCCACAGAAAACTCTGCTCTGAGCTGCCTGAAAACTCGTTTGTAGTCCAGCCGCTTCCCTTTCATCCCTGTGATGTCACAGGGATGAAAGCTAAATGCGCCTAACACAACGCTCGCCAAGCGGCTACTCCGACACGCCCTCTAAAACACTGGTGGAAAAACAGTGAGTAACTAGGAACTACGCATGTGCAACTCTCAACAAAGATCATGTAGAGACAAGATGTATCACTCCATAGCTAAAACGAAGCCTTCAACACAGGGTGAAAAGCCTGTTCTGGTACAACCTCTAAATAAGATTTTGAACCTGAAAATGAGCAGAATACCACCTCTTTAAATCATTTTTTGATCCCTGAAAATTGTTTATCTCTGAAATTTACATTATTTCTGTCATTATTTATTATTAAACTTTGTCTTTACCTTCTTTGGTTATTCTGCAGCAGTAGAAGGAAATGAAACACATTTCTATAAACACCTTGTAACAGCCTGTTAATACATCCTCAGAAGCTTTATTTGTACTATATTGTATATTTATATATAATATATAGATGAAGGAAGACAGAGCAGCTGGTCATCCTACAGTGAAATAATGAATGAAACTCTTTCATTTAATTGTTCATTTTAGATCTGAAAATGTCTGTTTTGGTGACGTAAACGTTGTTTTTAACTTCGGCAGTTTGCTGCTTACCTTTCTGCCATTTAAGGTTTTTCACTGGACTTGAAGTGCTTAGTAGTGGACATAGAATAGTGCATCCATGTATTATTCTGTTTTTAACATAAATATCAACAGGAGACGTAACAGAGCTATGTCTTATTTCTCTGAATTATGGACTGTAAGAACTCACAAAAACAGAACAAGTTATAAAGGAGAGTAAACAAATGCATTTATTTCCTGTTCTTTTCCAGCTTCCTGGCCAGCATGAAAACTTTAAACCTTTATCCACTGTGTCTGTCTTTGTTGAGCAGAACATCAATAAAAATCAGTTTTGTCTTGTATTTATCAGAAGCTGACTTCGGGCCAACTATAGGAGCGAGCAAACAGAACACATCCAGACACAACTGGGGATGTCTGAGCAGAACAGATTTGTGTGCTTTGCTCTTCTTCACCTTCACACATTAGCGTCGTCCTGCTTGCCTTCTGGGAAAGTGGAACCTATCCATTATGTACAGGGAAGAGGTGTAAGGCTGGAGGTTAAAGGCCCGATTTAAATTGCTATCCATTATGTAAGAGACTTAAAGCATGAATTATAGAATGCCTCGACATACGATGTGACTGGATGTAGAGATATTTTACTCAACTGTGTCATTTTTAACTCACATAAACATACTTTTGATTAACTTCTTTAGATTGTATATGTGTAGTTTTAGGAGAGTTACGTGCTCAAACTATATTGAACAAAATTATAAACGCAACACTTTTGTTTTTGCCCCCATTCATCATGAGCTGGACTCAAAGATCTAAGACTTTCTCTATATACACAAAATGCCTATTTTTCACAAATATTGTTCACAAATCTGTCAAAATCTTTGTTAGTGAGTCCTTCCCCTTTGCCGAGATAATCCATTGACCGGTGTGGCATATTAAGATGCTGATCAAACAGCATGGGGATTGCACAGGTGTGCCTTAGGCTGGCCACAATAAAAGGCCACTCCAAAATGTGCAGTTCCATCACACAACGCCACAGATGTTGCAAGTTTTGAGGGTGCAATTGGTATGCTGACTGCAGGAATGTCCACCAGAGCTGTTGCTCGTGAATTGAATGTCCATTTCTCTACCATAAGCCGTCTCCAAAGGCGTTTCAGAGAATTTGGCAGTACACATGACCGGCCTCGCAACCGCAGACCACATGTAACCACACCAGACCAGGACCTCCACATCCAGCATCTTCACCTCCAAGATGGTCTGAGACCAGCCACCCGTCCGGCTGCTGCAACAATCGGTTTGCATAACCAAAGAATTCCTGCACAAACTGTCAGGAACCATCTCAGGGAAGCTCATCTGCATGCTCGTCGTCCTCATCGGGGTCTCAACCTGACTGTAGTTCATCGTCGTAACCGACTTGAGTGGGCAAATGCTCACATTCGATGGCGTCTGGCACTTTGGAGGAGTGTTTTCTTCACGGATTTATCCCAGTTCTCACTGGACAGGGAGATGGCAGACAGTGACACCAGGCACTGACTGGTTTCCAGACACCCTCAATACAATGAAACTGCACATTTTGGAGTGGCCTTTTATTGTGGCCAGCCTAAAGCACACCTGTGCAATACCCATGCTGTCTGATCAGCATCTTGATATGCCACACCTGTGAGTTGGATGGATTATCTCGGCAAAGGAGAAGTGCTCACGAACACAGATTTTGACAGATTTCTGAACAATATTTGAGAGAAATAGGCCTTTTGTGTACATAGAGAAAGTCTTAGATCTTAGCTCATGATGAATGGGGGCAAGAACTAAAGCGTTGCGTTTATAATTTTGTTCAGTTTATCTTGTTGTTGTGCTGTGTCCACAGAGGGATAGCGATCATTCCCTAACCTCGACAACATGTTTATTATTGTAACAATGACATTGATAGTTCCCTAAAACCAGGTGCACACTAGAGGATTTTCAAATCTTAACCGATTGAAAGCGTGGGATCCCGCAGACATAACAACAGAATGAACCGATGTTTAATATTTTAATCTTAAGAATGCACACACCAAATGGTTCAGTCCAGACGCAGGACCACACACTCAGTGCTTATACTAAATGGTTTCAGAGTCGCGGTTCTGGCGACTTGGGATCTCACAGAACCTCTCGTGATCAAACGTGACTTCAGACTTCTATCCCCTGGACAGGTTGAGTCAGACCCAAAATCGGCCCAGTTACCCAGTATGTGGAAACCCGAACAACAGTGTTGTCACATCACCAAATAGTGATTTGTAAAAGTTGACAAATAATGTGTTCGTGCTGATTTGGGGTGGTCAGATCAAGTAACTTCTGTTTGTTGAAGTAGAGAAGTTGTTTATTCTTTGTCATAATGTTTTTTTCTGCCATTACTATTTAATTTTGGCAGCGCCTGCTTTGGCTGTACAGAACAGAGTTGGAGCTGCAGTGTCCCACGGCTCGTGTCTCCAGTTGGCTCATTTTGATGCTTTCCTGAACTCAGCCATGCCTCAGGGTGGATGGTGTTTCCCTTTATGTGGAGCCTGCAGACATCCTTGTAGCACAGGGACGGTGTCTGGTGCCAGCGGCTCGCTCGATATACAGCAGGTTTTTTGGGGCTTTTGGCCATCTTCCATTCAGCAGACATGACTGAGCCGGTGCAGATGTCGCATAGATTCTGTGGGAGGGTACTGGTGCTTTCATTTCAGGTCCAGGATTCTCCCGAGACAGCAAAGATGAAGGAGTTAAGGCAACAAAAAGACCAGTGAACCGTTAGCTTTGTACTGGTGGCACACGCACGACCTCACCCGCAATTTAAAATAGGTTTGAGTTCATATTATTGGATTCTGTCAGTCCTAGTTTTATTTCTCTTGCTCTTATTTGTGGGATAATTATGAGCTGTAAAAAGTCCCTCAACTCATCTGCATTATCAGGATAAGAAAAAATATTTAGTTGTTTTAATTTACTGATAAATCGTTAAACCCAGAAATAATCCAAACAACTGTGTGTTGTAAAGATAGAAATACAACATTATTTATTTATTAAGTTGAACAGATATTGTTGACATTATAATGCAGGCTTATATTATGGAAATCATGATAACCATGCAATTTAATAGTATATGTGGTTGTATATAAACAAAGAAAATAACATTTATATTACTTATATATGCTTTTATTCTTGTTAATATCCTCAACTCTTTGTACATGCTGCAAAAATAAAAATAATGCCACATAAATGGTCTCGGGGCCTATAGGTTAGGAAACACTAAGTTAGATAATATTTAATGGCTACACCTGTACACAATTTAACCTACAACCTGATTTCACCCACTGCGCCTCCACCAGGTCCATGAAGCAACGTGGCAATACCTGCAAACTGCTGTGTGTCAGCACTTTCAAAACCCATTTCTAAATACCTGGAATGTCAGCGTGTGCATTTCCAGTAAATGTGAAAACCTCCATGGTCACACAGCAGAGATGAAGTTTCATCTGAAAAGAGACGGACGGTGAAACAGACAGGAAACAGATAAAGACAGAGATATGATAAGAGAAAAAGAGTGAGATGGAGAAAAGTGTCCCTCTGCTGTCTGTTACCTCCCGCATGCTGCTGGGAATTTGTTTTCTGAACAGTATCATTTGCCCAAAGCACATGAACATTTTTCTGTGAGCTCTGCTGAGCCGTCACAGGAAACGGACCTGCGGAGGCGTTCATTGTCGGAGGAGGTTACCGCGGTAATAGTCCATATGATAATGATTCATTTAATGATCGCTATAACAACGTGGTGGATGTGCATGTATGCATATCTGTGGGTTTGCACATGTGCATTTCAAAGGAAATGATGATGATCCCGCACGCAGCGTTTCCAGGCTTCTCTTTCTGCTCTCGATGATTTCCCGTCACTGAAAAGAGTTTTCTTCCTTCTCGTGGAGCGATAACATCTGATTGGCTCTCCCACCCAGGTACCAGGAGTAGATATGCAAATGAAGCTCTGACAAAGAGGCTGATGGGAGATGGAGATAAATGCTCTGCTGTGTGTGTGTTTGAGCAGGCGGAAGTGTGCTTCTTTGTTCACGCAGACGTCACCGCTCTGCATTTCAATGACCGTGAAGCTGGTGAGCTCGGCTCAGCTGTTAAACACTGAAACGACGGGAAAGTGTGCAGAGCAGCTGGTTCTGTTCTTTTAATGATCTCCTCAGTGTTTCTCAGTGGCTCTGACCTCTGCAGTAACTGGGACAGTAGATCGGTCGATTCACTAGAACAGGACGGGTGTTCAGCCAATCACGCATACGGTCGTCATCGTGTCTGATAGCATGTTGATTAGAGAACAACATCCTGCTGTTCTAACGTGAGAGTAACAGCCGTTCTTCTTTTAATGAGCCAGAGTTAATTGTCCTGACCAAGCGTGGGCGGACGATGAGGACTAAAGAGCGGTGATTGTGATGTTTCTGATGTTTTCTCATGATGACTTCTTGTTTTACAGGATGGAGGCCAAAAGTGCATCCCCTCTGATGAGTTTGAGTGCGAGGAGGTGAGGAGCTTTGATTACACACTTCTGTGTTTTGACACTTTAAAAACTAATTATTGGAGCAACAGTTTTTTTGTTTTTTTTTAAACTGCATGATTAAAAACATAAAATCCACTGCCTTACACACACATTTTACTGTATCTCCTGTGTGGATTTGTATTTTTGTTTTTCCAGAAATAACTGCTGACGTATGTGAGGTGGTCGGGTTCACTCCTTTCTATTTAGGTTCTTTATAGTAGATTATTCTGGGTTAAAAACAGTTGTACACGCTTATTCAAACTGTACAGCATAATGACTGTTGATGCATAACTTCTCTAATAGAACAGGTAAATTAAAACAGTTTACATCTTGCCCTTATATTTGCTGTTCCCTTTTTTCCTGAGGGGAACATGCACATCATCAAAACTAGTCAATAAAAGACAAAATGAGACAAATATATAAAACATACTATATGCAGAAGACACATGCAAAAAACACTGAGAACACCTCCTCTCATCTTGCCGGAGTCTTGCGCCGACAGCTCTGAACATGGACCACTTGCCGAGTGCTTGATCCGGGATGTCGATGTGGCAGGTCTCTGTAAAGATGTGGGCTCAACAGTCACAGATTTTCATTGCTTGGCCGACATGAGTCCCATTTTGTCCAGACTGGACCTTTAGCAGCAGAATTAAGTCCAAGCTGGGCCAACATGGCTCCTATCCCATCTTCCTTTTCCAATGACTGTATCTCTGTCAGAAGTAACATGTGTTTCAGCAATAAAGCCGGAAAAAATAGATGAAAACCAAAAGTGTAACAAAGTTTGAAGGAGCTACCGGCTGCTGCTTCTACCAGCGCTGCCGGTTGCCATAGATTCACCTACATATCGCTGTAAACTCTGTGTCTTGACTGTGAGGGTTTATGTAAGGCACTAACTACATGTAAGAGAGAACTAAAGAGGTTCTGAAAGGTTCACATTTGGCTCATGCAGTTTGTCTAGTTTTAGAGGAGTAAAAATGTGAGAGGAAAGAATGGAGATTTATACAAACCGCTACTGCATGTGATTTATGAGCTCTGACGTACGGCTGCAGCGGAGGAAACTGTCTCTGAAAGTTCATGTCTGAGAAAAGCAGATGTAAATTCTGCAACTGTTTTATTAGGCACAAAAGGAGGGAGAGAGACTATAGCAGATAAGCAAAGTGAGAGAGAGACACACAGTAATATGGTTTTAATAGTTGCAGTAAAGAATATTGCATCAAATTAAAAGATGCATGATAAGATGATTTTACCAGCTCTCCTTTTAGCGTCACATCATTTTCTAAAGCCATTATAACATAATTATATGGAACATTATGTAGAACAGGTTCAGCCTTTTCTCTTTAAAGCTAAATGTTTTATTATCTGCTCAAACTCAACACATGTAGTTAAATTATAAGCTATATAACATTAACCAGCGTCTTGTTGGCATAGGCTGTACATCATCCACATTCCTGACGAGACCATCTTTCACCACTCAAGAAAAACTCTCCTCCTGCAAACACGACTCAGTTTAGCTCCCAGCAGCCACCTCTGCAGCCTCCTCTCGATGCCTTGTGTGCTCGGAGTGGTTGGTTTGGAAGGCAAACATTTTTGCGATTCTGTAAAACATACCTGTCAACACTGGGATTTTAAAATAGGGGACATTTTCAGGCACCCCGCCTCGGGCCATCTCACCTCCCCTACCACACACAGTCCACACACCGCTTACATTTAGACAAGGGTGCACACGCTGAATACTAAAATCACCACGAGGCAACCAGCTGCTTTAAAATACCAGTGCAACAGTGATTAAGTCAACTAATTCCTACATTAAGTCAGTGAAGAATGTGATGGTTGAAAGTGAAATGCTGTGAACGTTTATTTACTCATTTGGCAAACACTTTTATCCAAAGTGACTAACATGTGAGGAATAACACAGAAGCGTCAGTAGAGTAAGAGATCTACGAGTGACAACGGATTCTAGTAGATGCTGCATCAGTGGGATAGATACAGAGGGGAATGAGTCCTTTTGGGTTGATCGAAAACCAGATTCACAGCTGCGTTCTGGACCATTTGTAGGGGTTTCACCGCACTGCTAGGAGGACATTGCAACAGTCGAGGCGAGAGATAATTGATTTTTCTTATGTAACATCCCAGCATTAATAAATAAGAACACAAAAGGGCGTTTAATGAGTATATGTATATGTTATGTAAGCCTCCTCCCATTTGGTAAGTCTTTTTGGCAGGTTCTTCATCGCTCTCACATTCATCCAACTGAATCCTCACGCTGCTCTTCTCCTTCTTATTCTTGTTTTATTGGCGGGTGCCGTTTGACCAAATGACTTCACGTCACTACATGTCACAGCTAATGTTCTAAATGCTGCCTTTTTACTTTCTTTTTAGAAAGGTTAAAAATACAGGAGATTTGAGAAAATATGAAAATATGGAATGAAAGTCTGAATCATCTGACGTCATTAAGGCCCTGGCGCCATCTTGTGTTTTTGATGTAATTAATTGTGACACTATTTGGAGCATTGAAGAGATTACAAACACACTAGCAAATGCATGTACAAGCCATAACACTGGGAACCATATCCAGTAGTTCTCCTGATGAAATAATTTATTCTCTTTCATCGTGGAAGACCGAATGCAGGAAACCTCCCGTCCCAGGGAGTTCCCATTTATCAGGCAAACAAGCCTTCAACCTCACAGGTGCCACCACAACAGCTTAAGTTAGTTCGCATCCGAACTAATCTTTTAAAGTCACAGAAAAAAGAACCTGGCAGCGGTAACATTTTTTGTCAATGGAGTTCGGTGGCTTTGAAGAGAGCGATATAACAGCTATTTCTGGTAACACAGCATCTTACTCTTTAAAAAGTTACTGCCTGAGCCCTTTTGGGTGGACATACGAAGATTCTATAGGGGTTGTTGTGGGGGGCACCTGTGAGGTTAAAGGCGTATTTCAGTTTGCCTGAGATATATATATATATATATAAACCACAAATGAATAAACCCTAAGTGTTATGAATCATATATTAATTGTCTCTACACATGGATGTGGAGCTTTAAGATTCATTCTTCACCTCAGAAATAACAAATATTTGACAAACAAAAGGTACACCTACTAGATTTCTTCCAGAGCTTTCAGTCACAACTCGGATCCTTCAGTGGATGGTCTGCTCAGTTGTCATAGAGTGAATTTAAATGGATAAATGCTAAATATACTAAATTAAGAAGAGGCGAATAATGATAAAAAACAAGTTTCATATGATCACAGCCGTTAATATCTATTTGTACATCACTTGTGGATGTTTATACTTATATTTGTTGACAAATACATTAATAAACACTTAGAAATGGACAGTGTGTCTTCTTACAATTATAAAATGTGATTAACCTATTATTAAAATTAAGTGTTTATATGTTATGTAAAGTTTCACACATCCTACAAAGCAGCAAACAAGAATTCTAACTACACTGGAATATTAATATTTAATATTTAGTGGTGTCCTCGTACCCTCTAATATTTACTGCCATGCTTGAAAACTCCGGTTTATTTCAACTTGCTGTGTTTCCTGTAAATGTGGCTATTGTTGCTGTATGGGTTGTGCTGACTTTGCACTCTCTACCTCTGTTGTAAAGACTCTGGGAGACGAGGCCGCAAGCAAAACAGTGTTTATCAGGCGAGCTGCAGGAGCCTCCTACAGTTTTCCATATAAATTCAAACACTTGTCTCTGAGTCTGACTGAAAGAAAACACAGAGAGCAGCCGGCTGATAGATGCTGGATGCAGGGGGATCTGCATGCAGGTCAACCTGCATACTTGTTTCACTTTGTTTTCATGTGTGAGGCTGTGGATCAGTCTATTTAGTGTGTTCGTGCCAGAGAAGCATTTTTCAAATTGCAATAATAAAATGAGATGATAAACATTGTGCAGTTTTTATCATATTATTTTTATTTGGGGATTTTTTTTTAACCTGGGGCTAAGTATCCAGCACAATAGTGGCTTTTATTCTCAGCTACCATTGGATCATTGTCACGACGCATAGAGTCAAATCTGTCCCATTAAAACAGGCCAGTGTTAAGAGGGTGTTGGGCAGGCTAACCTGTTACAACATTACACCAGGTTGAAATAAATCAGAATTTTCTTTTCAGTGCAGGTGTGATCACAGAAAAAAGTTACATAATTCTGCAAGAGATGCACAAAATTAACTGTATTCTTCTCTACGGTGAAACTGACACAATCATAACTTCCATTTCCTGTCAACATCAGAAAACCTCTTTCATGTTTTGGTATTCCTGAGGACCCAATAGCAGGACACAGAGACAGCGGTAAAGGAAAAATGCACGGAAAACGGTGGTTTCTTGCTGGGAGTCTGCTGAGCGGGCAGGCGGCGGACAAAAACAGGTTGGCAGAGATCATTCACCAAAAACAAGAGTGGCGCAGCCAATGATGACAACTTCAGCTTCAGCACAGTTCTCAAGCCAGCCTAGTGACACTTTTCATTAAAAATAATGGCCTTACTCTGTGCAGTGTTACACATTTGTTTGGCGTGAAAGCAGGTTACATGTGACTTTCAAAATAATTACTTGGTCACACCTCTGACAACTACAGTGTCAAGTCTCATGTGGTGCTATTTTCACAGGAGGTTTCTGCTAAATCAACAGCAGAATTTACTGGGTTACTTCCGTTCTCACCCTTTAGAACAACTACAGGAAAAACATCTTGTATTTAATCTATGTGATACAAACTAATGCTCTTACCTTTTTCTATGCCTATCCCTTCCTCCCCTCCATCACTTCCTCCTTCTTTCTCCACCTCTCTTTCCTCCCTTCCTCTTAAACTCCCCCCTCCACCTCCCTCTCCTCTCTCTGTTCAGGCTCTGTTGGCCCAGGGGTCAATGGACTCTCAGGACTCTGCAGGGCCCAAGAGCAGCAGCCGGCAATCAGCTCCACTCCTCTGCCACATCTCTGTGACTGTGTGTGTGTCCGTCCTGCCAACGTTTCTACTCTTCGTCTCATAAATACGAACTCGCACATACACACCGCACAAACACCCACAAGCTTAACATTCACACACACACACACACACACACACACTCCCATAATTGGCAAGACCCAGAGAAAGTCACGTGACTCGGCGCCCTTCACTGTATGAGAAAATGTCAACAAACAGACATCCAAACATCAACAACGGTCTTTTGAGGAGGAAAAGTGTTCAGGAGGACTTTTCAGATTAGCCGTCTCTCTCCACCACACACACACACACACACACACACACACACATCGATGATAAAGAAGAAGAAACTGGACTGTGTTTATTGAGGACGAGAAACAACAAAGGCAGAGACGGAGAGACTCTTGGGATTTTGGATCACAGTGACTTCATTTCCAGTGCTCCGTGTCTGCAGGGTTTGTGTGCTTTTTGTGGAGCCCGGCTCTGACTCATTCCCTCCAGCTTTTTTGGATCTGAGACAGCTGGGCTGAAAACACACACACACACACACACACACACACACAATCGGACAGCAAGTCTTAAAATCTGCAGCGTGAGAGAGAGAGAGAGAGAGAGAGACGACGACTGGCTTTCTGGGCTGGACAGATGGTACAGATCCTTCCACGGTGTTTGTCAGCTCAATTTATCACTCCCCTGGACCTCTCTAGTGGCAAGAAATCTATACTGCATACATACAAAGCACAAACACACACATACATGTACACGCGCATGCACACACACACACACACACAGTGTCGCCCTCCCCTTAGACCTCGTTAGCGGGCAAACAGGGTCCCCACACGGACACAAACACTCATGCTGTACACCAGTGTGCTTTTCGCGGGTCTTTATCTCAATTTTGTGTCGACATTCTGTACAAACTTCATTTACTGTGGAATATGAAAAAAGTCCATCCAGCGGAGTCTCAATGGAAGAGTGTATATTTCACATACTGTCAGTGTATAGCTGTGTGAGCACAAAGTGTGTGTGTGTGTGTCTTTCTTTACGTGAGTGTGTTTGTTGGGGAGTGTGTGTGTTTCTGCGTGGGCTGTGTGTGTGGATGCTCAGTGTGTATGTGAGCAAAGAGAGGCTGTAAGGGTTCAAATCTTATACGCAACTGAAAACTTGTACCACTGCTGAATACTTGATGTTGACATTTAAATACCACTGAATTGATGGCTTTGAAATATTCACTTTGAGGATTTTTAAGCAGTGAACATTCAAAAACTGCAGTTTAACTTGTAGGTTAAATGTCTCACTCGTGGAAGTATTATTTTATATGATTTACAAGCTATAACAGCAGAAATTCAGAGAGCTAGATTGTTTGTAATTCGACTTGAGTCAGTGTCAGTTGATCTTTATCACTAGTTTAAGTTTGGATCTCAGTGTTTTACTAACATGAAGAAGGGACAGTGCTAGTTTCCCCGTTTGAAGCGATGGGACTTCACTGCTGCACCTGAAAAGAAAACCAGTCAGTGTTGGCAGACGTGACCTACACCAAAGCAGAGCGTTAAACCCACCCAAATAATTTCCACTGAGGAGAGGTAACCCCACTCAGTCTTCTGTTTTAGTTTTATTAGTATAATTAACCCAAAAATACAGTTACAGTAATGAAAACAAATCTTATGAGAACACGACGCTTTTAAAGAGGTGGTATTCTGCTCATTTTCAGGTTCAAAATCTTAATTAGCGGTTGTACCAGAACAGGTTTACATGGTTTCATTTTCAACAAACACCATATTTTTCTCATACTGCACATTGCTGCAGCTCCTCTTTTCACCCTGTGTTGAACGCTCCGCTCTTGAGCTACAGAGTGATGCATCTGACTTGTACAAAATCTTTGTTGGGAGTTGCACATGCGCAGTTCCCAGGTAAGGACCACTAGCCAATCAGAAGCAGAGAAGGGCGGGTCGTAAGAAACAAGGTAGTGTGATCCAAATCAAAGCCGCTTCAGACTGAGACCGTAACCTAGCAGATGGTAGAAGTTACTCACAAGTCCACAACCACACAACATCATTGTTCCACATCTTACCATAAACCACTACAAAAATCACCATATTTCAACTCAATTTTACATAAAAATTGGCCAAACAATTTGAACGTTTGCTCAGTAGCTTTCACATCAGGTGTAACGTTAGCATTATAGCTGTAACTTTAGCTGTGTTAGCCAACGTTGAACAGTCTGTGAAGTTACATTTCCGTGTTTATTTTAAATATAATTCACAACCAATAAAGCACACTTACAGGTTGTGATTGTGAATTTCCAGAGTTGCATCGTCTTTTAGGACTGAACGTTGAACTGTTGCCGGTGACGATCTATGCTGCCTTGCAGAAAAATGCTACCATAGCGCAAATTGATAGACTCGACTCTACTCGGCCCTGCTCCGTTTTCCATTGCAGACAGTACCCAGAGATATTACGTAGCTTGTCGTCATAGCAACACTACACACAACTGCCGCGACGTAATGTTCAACGCGACACACACACCAGCGATCCACACAGCTTTCTCTTTTTTAAGTTAAAGCGTTTGAACCTTGCTCAGAATGTAAAGACAGATAAGCGGTATGAAAAGCTTCCAGCTGTGTTTTCCTCTGCCGTTGTTGCTGCAGCGGTCTGTGTGACGGCGGGAGCAGAGGGCTCCGTGAGCGGGCGGCTGGCCGGCCTCACACGCTCCTCCCGCGGGTCACAGCAGGCTTCCCCCGCAGCCACTTGCGGAGTTCCTCAACTCCGAAAATATTCAAGCACATTTTTGTTCCACCATCACTCGTAAAACTGTCAATATTCAAAATCTACACAGATGATTTCTCACATCAAAACTTCTCAGAAGTGGATTTAGTCATGAAATTCCATACGAAAACTGTAAAATATAAAACTTTCTGTTGCTGGCGTCTGTCTGGCGCAGCAGTGATGATGCAGTGAATAGTGAATATTCTCTCTGACCAATCAGCAGTCTGTCGTGTTTTCACGTTATATTTTAGTTTCCCTCAGCTCACTTGGAACCTCGACATTCGTGATTTGAAAAAAAGTACCTGGAAGCAGATACAGGTGCAACATTTCTACAATGGAAAACCAAACAAAGGCGAGTCGAGCCAAAGGGCCTCCGCTCAGACTAGCTTGGTTTGAGGGCGTGCCTGACCCCGCTAGCTGCTTGGCAAGCTATATGACGCGTTTTCATTGTGACGTCACAGGGATGAAAGGGAAGCGGCTGGACTACAAACGAGCTGTTTTCAAGCAGATCAGAGCAGAGTTTTCTGTGGAAGATGGGAACTCCCTTTGGGCTGGACTTTGGGTTTTTTCACTTTGCAAACCTGTTACATGCACAAAAAAGAGATATAACTCAATAAAGGAGAGGGAAAAAGCCAAAAAGCAGAATATCACCTCTAAGAGTTTCGATCTAAGTGTATTGAAGTGAAATGGTTTTGTTGGTCATCAGTAGAGATGTCATGACAACCGATACTTCGGTACCAAGTCAATACCAAAATTCTGAAAACAGGCCTGTACCCGTTTTTCTAGGTACCATTAGTACCGGCGATCCAACACGTGGAAGATGGCAACAAGTGCAGCTGCAGTGACGGGGTGAAATTAGTTTAATATTTAACATTCATCAGTTTTTAAGGCTGTTACCTTCGATAGCTCCTTATCAAAGCCTCAATTTCTCTTTCACAGCTGTTAGTTGTTCTTTGAAATTTTCAATTGTTTTTATTAAATTAGTGTATGTTGAAGTACATGGGATTTATTGATTTGTTTTTTACCGTGGTATCGAATTTGATATTGAGAATCATGAAATTTCACAAACTTGTGGTATTATGGCATCTAAATCATCAGTAATCATGTATTGCGTGTCGAGCAGAGTCAGCTAAACTCCATCAATCTCAATCATACTCAGATGAGAGGAGGGACAGATGTCTGGAAGAGTAAGATATGTCTTATGTCTTGTATTACATGATCACGACTAGTTTTGGTTCTGCCGTAACAACACAGCGTTAGTTTTCAAAAGCTGTTCACTCACCAAGTTCACTCTGACCCTTTTCACACCATAATATAATAGCTCATCACTAGTTGTTATTTCGACTCAGTAATTTCTGTTCCCGGTGACTTGGATGCTGAACTGGCTCATTATTATAAGGCTGCGTGTACGAATATGTAGCTGCAACCTCACAGATGTAAGAAGTAGCGCTGGGATCCATATTTACAGTTGTTAAACTTTATTACTTTGCTGCTCTTCTTATGTAATTGTGAAGTCCACATCCATTTTCTCTGTTTTGAGATAGACATGAAAACTGCCTCAAATCAAGACGTCTCTCTACATCATTTTCCCAAAGGAGCAAACTTCAAACTTGAACATCCGGAGCTGCTAGGGGATGAAAAGTCAAGCCTGATCAAACCCCTCTGTCCAATCAGGTTATGTTGTGCCAGTTACAAGATCCAAGAAAGATCAGGTCTGATAAGCAATAGGAAACCTGGACACTTGAATTTTCAATATTGATTTCCCTAACCTGAAAAAAAACAAAATCATTTTAAATTCCAAAACTTGAAATGAACTCATAAATTCAAATCAGGTAAAATATTTAATGCTTTACGTTCAGTTGTATGTACAGTTCTACATGAAGCATTCAGTAGTGGTTCAATTTCACAATTAGGTGTTCAGTTGCTCATAAAATTCAAAAACCGTAATTTGGTCCTTTTTTTGCTTCCATAAACATGTTTAATGTCTGTGTGTGTGTGTGTGTGTGTGTGGGTGGGTTGTTCAGTGTGTACTTTACCTCTGGCCACTCTGTGGGGTATTTTTTATGTTTCATAGAAGCTACCAGGATGTGGAACATGAACATGAAGGCCTGTTCAAGACGACCACCAGATCAGTGTCGCCGTGGGTCGTCACCTCCTGCCCTCCGTCAGCTGGAAGTAACAGAGAGATCAGTTTCTGTGATTATGGTGTGGCCTTACTTTACTGTTCTTTCTTACATACTTGAAAGAGGGAGAATGATTATTATTGCCCTGCTAGCGGTCGGGAAAAGGGAATTACAATGTTCACCACTTTTGTGCAGTGAACTAGCCAGATCACAAGTAGATCACGATTGTTCATGGTCGCCAGAGGATCAATCTCCTCAGCATTTCAACACTTAAACTCAAAAAAACCTCAAAACTCAAATCAGCTGTTGATATTCATGGTCCCCAAATGTTTTTGGTGACCCTTAAACCTTTCACTGCCATCCTCCGGCTAAAAATTCTGATTTTATTCCAGAAATAAATTGAGTACAAGTAATTGACAGTGTGCAGGCCCATTCATACTCCCCAGAGAATTAAATATTTCCATTTATGACACAAACAATAACGGCAAACTCTATTGACTGGATTTCATTGAATCTTGCTGTAGATATTCTTGGTCGACTGCAGATGTATCTCTGTGTTTTTGATGACCTCATGACCTTTCCTCTGGGGCCACCATCAGACTAAACTAAACTTTTATTAATTGTCTTGTCTTTTTGGGCACTCCGTGAAAATTCCTCTAGCACAATAATTAAGCCAAATTAAAATTTTGAACAAAGGATATTTCGTAGTCTAATGGGAGGACAGTCTTTCGGTCATTGTCCCCATGACCTTTACTGTAGAACGGTGGTTCCCAACATTTTTTCAGTTTGTGACCGCTTAAAATGTTAAAATTTGTGGACCCTTGTCACAGTTCTTTGTCTTTGAATTGTGACCAGTGGCCAAAAAGTATTTTTCAAAGAAAACAGTTTTCTTCTGTGGTTAGTTCATCAGAAATTTTTTTTTTGAAACGTGAGAATTTGGGAAATTTTGTGTAATGGATAAGCACCAAATCCAACTGCGACACACATAGATTAAATTCATATATATATATATATATATATAGTAGATGAGACCCGTCAAATTATTGTTAAGCAATTTGTTTTAATTAAAAAGGCAAAACATTGATACAATGTTTAGTAAATATTATGACATTACATTTATTGACATTTAAAGAAAGTTTGTTCAATTCAAACCATTTAGAAATATTATCTAATTCAGAATTTGCCTCAAATGTAAGTATTTATGTGAAAGAAAAAAGTTAACAACATCAGCAAAAAGTAAAAAAACAAATTAAGTATTCAGCTAACCAGCAGTTAATGTAATAAGGAATAAAATCGGTCCAACAATGGATCCCTGTGGGACACCACAAGTAACTCGTGCCAAATTAGAAGTCAGTCAATTTACATTTACAAAGTGTTTCAGATTACTAATATGATTTAATGTGGTAATTTAATAAGCAAAACATTATGATCAGCTGTTGGGAACCACTGATCTAGTGCCACCTTCAGGACAAACATTACCTTTCAAATTCCAAATACTGTTAAGGCTTTAAATAAAAGCTAAATTATCAGTTTATTCTTCTGTCCAAAACTTTAATTCTGTTGGTTGTAATGAACATTGCAGCATCCAGGGGCCGCTAGCAGGGCTTTACACTTTATGACAATGTGGCGGGAAGAAGAAATGAGTAGAGGAAAAAGGTGAAAGTAAGGTTGTAAATTTGCTGATATATTTGTAAACTTTAACAGCGCTACAGCAGTGTAACTGAAATATGTGTCTGGAGATCTAAATAAAAGTAAAATCTGTAACAATAGCTGCTGACTGCTGACTGCTGACTGACGTGTGCTTGTGCATTCTCTAGATCTACATTCAAAATGTATGCCCTGTCGAGGAATTGTGTGAGCAGCCCACCTTACAGTGGA